CTAAACGTTATACCACAACTGGCGTTATCGATGGCAATTTCTTGAGTTTGGCTTTTGGAGGTGCTCTTATGGTCATCATTTCAGTTTCTGTATACGCCTTTTATAATTTATATCATGCAGTATTGAAAAAATTCCCTTCACATCACACAGAACTCTAGAATGCCAGAGGCCAGTTAGCGGCAAGAGAAGAACGAAAACTTTGGGCTATAGTTCAAACATGTATGTACATACGCTCACTCCATTATATCTGTGTATATTCTTTGTTTTTTTTTCATAATCACAATGTTTTGCAAGCAATAATTTTTTTGCTAGTTTTGTACAAAAATATGGTTCCTGCCATAAACAGACCCATGTAAATCAAAGTTTCGAACTGTTTACAAAATTAAGGAAAATTTTACGAGTTTTCATCAAAATTTTAAGCATTTTACTCAGATTTTCTAAAAAAACTTCTGCTACGCAGTTTCATAGCCTGTTCAATTTTAGTGCAAAAATGTACAAATTTGAAGTGGCTAAAAAATCGCGTTCGCCGTCAGCAAAAAAAAATAAATATTAAAAATCAATGCGATTTCTTAGCCACTTCATATTTGTAATTGTAATTGTTATATCGTCGCTGGAATAATGAAATAGTGTAACATGAAAAGTATAGTTTTGAGAAAAACGAATTGGAAGTTTTTTTAAACCATTACAAACCCTACAAACACAATTTCGTTTTACGCGAATAAATCAGTGAGCCAAAGAGATATTTAAGAAAACTAAAGTTTTTTCTAATATCCTTTAAGGATTGTCTATCCAATGGTGCAATTATCGAATAATAGTGTATGTGGCATTTACACTGTTTCTTTATTCGAGCGACGATATATTGTGAATATTAAAAAAAAAAAACAAGGTTGTACGAAGATATAATGGTGTGAGTGGTACATATGTGAGCACGTTTTCAAGCGAAAATTATTTTATCTTACATTGTTTATGTGTTCAATAAATTTACGGGGAATGAAAATTTACTACGTCAGCTTAAAGTTAAAACTTCACATCAAGCTTTTCAGAAGTTCTGTGCTGTATTCAGCTGCCAGTTTTATAAATTATTGTCAACGCCGAAAGCCACAACCCCTCAATCGTTTGGTGTGATGCTCCAACTTAAAGTGCAGAATTTATAGTTCTGATAAATTTATCCTAATGGAGTGTGTTATGAAAATCATTTTTAGTAGAATTGAACACAGTTGAAATAAAAAGCACTTTTCAAAGTGTGATAAGTTATCTTATTTGTGTATTTAATTACTTTTTCATCCATATTTAGGTATATTAAACGAATCTTGAATTAAAATACATATACACATGTTTTTAATAAAATGATACTATAGGCCTGTGCCATTTGATAGCAAATTATTCTTGTTTGTAAATTTGGTACTGATTGAACTAGGACCTTTTGTAAGCAATTTAGCACTTTCTTTTTCAATTTGTCATGCAGTCTGACAGCTTTATATCTAAAATCTCCCGAAAACCTCTACTCAATAAACCAGCATGATAAAAAAAGAAGGTAGTAGGTAGGTAAGAAGGTAGGTAAACAACTTTTTGACGGATAGTTAATAATAATAATAATAATAGTTGCGATCCCGTACGAGTCCGGACTAGTCAGAAATTGATCCTGTACTCGGTTCTCTGACTATTAAGAGGCCAAAAAAGAGAGTAAATAAGGTCCTCTCTCTGTCAGAAGTTACCGGTTTTAGTCCGAAGATTTTTTGCTGGTGAATTCTGGTGAATGTGTCAAACGATCAGCCGTAGTGTGTTTGGCAACCAAATTGTAAACCAAAGAAAAGTGCACTCTGCTAATTCATGTTGAAAAGTATTTAATTACTTGTTTAAGTGGATTCTAATGAATTTGAAAGTGTTTTTGGTTATTTAGATGTGTGAGCTGAGTGTGTTTACATACAAAATAAGCAAAAAATTTACAACCAAATTTGGAGGTTATGTTCAGAAGTTCACAGAAGTGACCATTTTTACTAGAAAGCGATCCCGTACTATTCAATGTTACTCTCTCGTTCGGAGCGAATTTTTATTTTTTGACAGTTTTACTAGTTTTAGTCCGAGGAATACGGGATTGCACCTTCTATTAGCCTTCATATAACACTTTATTCGAACTATTGAATTAAGGCTTTCCAACCTGATCCTATTTCGAATCTTAGTTTTTGTAGAATTCATTACGGAAAAAACGCGCTCAAAAAAAGCATAAGAGTGCGATAAGGATAATAACATGACGGCTACTTTACTTATATTTCCAGACATTTTATTGCCTGTTGCGGTTTTCACTCCGTAAGCAATTATTCAAAATTTTTCAGGGTCGGATGGAATGGTTCTGAAAAAAGTTATTCCATGGGAATGTTAATGTTTTCTTTCCTTCAGAGTCAAATAGTGAATTGGCAGGTCCCTGGAACTCGACCGCTTGGTGAAAAAATCAAAGCTTTTTTTAAGTATTTAATTGACTAGGTAATCGTTTCAAAAGTTCTTCGATTAGGGTGATTAAAAATTATTGACAGTTTTTAATATGTTCCTTAAGCGAAGTTTATCACGTAGTTCATTCGCCTCTTCTGTAAAATTATCGTGAAAAATATACAATTTTATAAGTGGAAAAAATTTTTTCGAAGGGAAAAAATCGGCAAAAATCGGCAATGGAGATTTCCTAAATTTTTACGCGCAAATATCCAAAAAATCGCCAAATTGGCACGAAATCGCCAAATCTGGGCACTGTGAAAAACTATTGAAGTGGCCATGGCGCTCAGCCGCTTGTCGCGACTACTCCATGCATTCGTGTAAAGAGTGTACAAGGAGTGATGAAAGTTGACATCACTGCTGCAAGTGCCCAACTGATAAACCATTAGAAATTCACAACGAACGTGGTACTTTAATGATTTGCACAATACTGCGGTTGTGATTGCAGCTCGAACAAGCCCTACCTCTGGCTTATTGTAATGTGTCCCTTTGTCAGCACTGTGAGTAGGCTTGTCATATTTTGACAATATCAATTTTATCCTCATTCTGTTTCTTGGATGGGTCCAACTGGTTGCCATTATATCAAATACCTTTTAAAAAACTCTTGCTTACTGGTATAGGCAGAATTTTGCCAATTATCTTCGGCAATTCAAGTGATTACACAGGTTTACAAAAAAAAAAGGTTATGCATATTAAACCAAACCTATATATCCCTATGTTATTCGACACGCTGAATGCGAATCCGAAGTCCGTTAGTCTCCACCACGTCAGGTTCGTGGTCAGTTGAAGGTCAAGTAGGGAAAAATTCATTGAATAAACCTGAAAATTCATATACATAAGGTTTTACATTCGCTGAACCCGAATCCGAGGTCCGTTAATCTCCATAATGTCAGCTTCGAGGTCATTTGAATGTCAAATCCGATGAATTTTATTGAATTTTCAGGTTTATTCAATGAATTTCTCCCTACTTGACCTTCAAATGACCACGAACCTGACGTGATGGAGGCTAACGGACCTCGGTTTCGCATTCAGCATTTCGAATAACATAGGGATATATAGGTTTGGTTTAATATGCATACACTTTTTTTTTGTAAACCTGTGTTATTGATGGATGTAAAGGCAGGTTTATAAATCAGATATTTTTCTTTGAAATGCAGTTGCGAATCGATAATAGTTTCAACAATGACAAGGCTGTTAAAATATTTTAAATGCCACTAGAAGAGCGACTCAAAAAAGAAAACCACCTAACAGTGGCGATTATTTTTACCTTTCACCTTAAGGTGAAAAGGTGCCAAGTCAATTTTTTGAAATTGCTCAGGGGCTCTATTCTGCAGCTGTGAGTTTTCAAGTGTACACTGAAAATTGTGTGCACTCTTCATTTTGCGATTCAGGAAGAGTGAGAATGAGTTTTAGCCGTCAAAATTGTGTAAACTTCCTCATTTTGCGATTCAGCATGTGTGAGAATGAGCTTTAACTGTCAAAATTGTGTACACTTCTCTTTACTTCGTTCTTTTCATATGCATTATTTAGCTTTTAAAACGAAAGTATGCATATACATAATTTCGGTATTTTCTCATATCGTCGCCTGGGTAAAAATTGTCGTATGTTGATTTCGGCAGGTTGTGGGAAATCGCGATTGAAGTTTGGAATGCAATTTCTCAAAAACACGAAGATAGATATTCTCCAAAGCCTCTGAAAATGTTACTAGTTCACAAAATTCTTCAATTGTTTAATTTTTAATGTTTAATGTTAACTAGCTTTGAGTTTATGAAAGATTTTCTTTAGTAAAATTTTGACGTAAGCGTCATTTGTCCACAATTTGGCAGCCACTTTGTATGAAAAACGACAAAATGTCATCAAAATTTCTACTAAATTAACGACACTTTTTACTCAATATCTCGGAAACTAAAGGAGATATCCAAAAATGGAGAACGTCGTTTTTAAGATATTGATTAGCTTAATATGACTGCATCACTAACTAAATATTTACTAAATTATAGATAGATATCTGAAAACTGATAACACCAATCGAAAGACCTTATTTCAAAATATATAACTGCATCTGTAACTAAAAATCGTCAAAACTGCGCTTACGAAAATCTTTTACCCAGGCGACGATATGCATTATTTCGGTTTTTAACCGAAACTGTGCATGCATGCATCATTTCGGTATTCTTACGAAAGTGTGCATATAGATAATTTCGTTTTTTTTTCTAATATGAATTATTTACTTCTACTTAGTAAGGGTTTTAAAACCTAAGCGCGGCCGAAGGCCGCCTACGCAGAAAGAAGTTCTGCGCAAAAATATTTCCGGTCCTCTTTTCCGGCAACACAGAAAGGAGAGTTCTACTTAGTAAAAGCGCAAACAGTCAACGACGTAGCGTAGACGTAGGTTGACGCAGA